TTGAAATGTATTACTCTACGCTGTTTTTTCCTCATTTTTAATTTTTATTTATTTTGTATACAATTGGTGGATGGTGGCTAGCAGTGGAATCCAGGATGCGCATTTCGTCCTAATTGGGACTCGTCAGCTGGATGTACCTGCATTTCTCAGTGAGTGATGATGTTCCCACCGAGGCTCGAACCCATTTTATTTATTTATAACTTATTTATTTTATTTTATTTATTTATCTTTGATTTTTAAAAATCTTATATAATTTATGAGGTAATTAGATGCAATATACTGTAATGCACGCTGAAAATTCCATACCTGTACCACAAATACCGTTTGGAATAAAGCTGTTATTATTATTATTATTATAAAATGAGCTTGAGATTAGCATTTCGATTATGCGCTTCTGGTAGGGATTCGGATTAGTTTCACTATGTTTTTCGTCACGAGCCAACGTGAATTAGAGAGATCACTGAAATCTGAGAATCATAGAACAGTTGTTTCGACAGTTATGATCTGGAGATAAAATGGAGTTCAGTAAATGAATGGAGTATCCAGGAATAAATAATCAACAAAAGCCTAGGTTTTGACACGACTGTGTTGTAGTCACTAGTTCGAGAAACAATATGATTGTTGTCTGAGAAAGAGTTAAGCAGGTTGGATGCACTAGAAGTGGTTGTAATTAACGATATTATCGATACAATATTAATTATAGTGTGAGTTAAACAGAGGAGTATTACTAGAGAACAATTACAAAGTGATGGAAAATTTATTATAGTAGAAGTAAGAGGATTGTGTGAAGGCGTAAACTCAGGGTGACTGGCTAGATTTACTAATTCGGATTGTAACACAAGTAAGACAAAATTCAGAGAAGAGACTCTTTTTAACGAATTCATTACTAAGTCGTATAATCGACTATGGTTTTGCGAAGCTAACTAACAAACTAGTTCTTGAATATAAATCTAAAGCTTACTAGTGATTGACTGCAGAATGAAGTTGCCTAGAGTTCTGCTGGGAAGTCGTGATTTGTTGGATCCACCAGGTCGAGCTTGAGGATAAGTATTCACCGATCACATTGACTAGTAGTTTGCGCTTAGACCACAAAATGGTAGCAGTTGGAATTCATGGGCTAGTTTTTGGATTGGGTTACGGTGGCTGAATGGCTGATAAGCTCGCCTTGTAACCGGAAGTTCTTTGGTTCCTAGTGGGTGCGTTCTGGTGAAGAGTTCCATACTGTGATTTTTGAACGGCTCTCTAAATGACATTAATCAGTGATCAAAATCAAATCTACAAAATAACTCTGGAAAACTATATGCCGTAAAGGGAATTAAAACTTAAGCCAATACTAATGTGAAATGCGATTAAATGTTTGTGATAGCAATCATAGTAAACCATCAGATGGTAAAATAGAATAATTTCATATATATATATTTATATGGAATGCATAGGTATTGGAAAAGGATAGGAAATCAATAGGATTAATAATATTACTAGGCAGTTAAAACATTCAATAAGAGGATGTGAATTTTGAGAAGATAGAACTTAACATTGCATAAGAAGAGGAGATGAAAACATTCATGCAGACCTGGAGCCACGTGAAAACGTTGGCAGAGAGCCGAACGCAATGTAGACGTGCGGCTGAAGCTCTATGTTCCTCTAGGAACTGAAGAAAACAAATGATATATACAAATGAAACAATACCGATAACTCTTCTAAGTAATAATACTGATAACAATGGTAGTAATAAGGGAAAGTTACATAGATTAAATAAACAAAACGAAAAATAAATAAATGAATGTTTGTCCCTGTACAACCAAAGCATAGTTAGGGATTATACATGCCTCATTTGCACACACAAAGATCTGACTTGAATTCATGAATAGCAAGGGTCTCCGCTACATTTAAAAGTCTTGAACCAAATAAGAAGGTGGCAAGTTAACACAAATTCGATAGATGTTCTCAATATCATGGTCAGGTAGAGATGGATGATAGAAGTCGATACAGTGATTTAGAATAGAGTCTCGTATGTCCTTTCTTTCTTTCTCTTTTGTGAAATTTAGCCATAATGTGTTCTAGTATCGTTTATTTTTGCTTCATATCAAACTATGCCCATAAATTCGTTGAAAAGAGCCTCATCTGTGAATTCTGTGCTCTTAATAATAAACTTAATGCTAAAGGCCATAAAATCAATAGAACTCCTAAACAAAGATTCGTCCGAATGCCTCGCTGAGTTTTCCGTTGTGGATCACCTGACTCGTTGCATTGTCATATAGCTGTTGAAGGAGATGATAAAGACTTAGGCACTGTACACCGTAGTGTTGAATTAATCTCCAAATTACTTCTTGGTCAACATCGTCTGTCGAAGGCCTTTTCGAAGTCGATGAAGCTGTTGAGGTAGAGGTTTGACTGCCATTCTATGCTTTACTTGAAGATGATGCGTGGAGTTACAGTGTGTTTGTAGGATCATGATTTGCCTTTCCTCAGTCCAGCTTTTATAGGCTGGCGGAAATCTGCATCCAGTGCATCTTTTATTCTTTCCAGAATGATGCAACTTATTTCTATTTTATTCATTTTTATTTTTTATTTTATTTGGCGTAAACAAGCGCATTGTTCCATGCCAGTTCTTGCAGAGCCCTAAGTCGCCCTTCTTTGGAAGCTTGACTTGGTAGCCTTTCTCCCAATCGGTAGTCACCTTTCCCTCTTTCAAATTATTTTGCAATAATGGCGTGAGAACATCTGCTGTCGTCGTGGTGTCCCTTTTCAGTGCTTCAGGGAATTCCGTCTGAGCCCGATGCCTTCCTTGCTGGCATTCAATGACCTAATTTTATTTAGGATTTCTGTTTTCGTAAGAGAATCAGTTCTGTGCACGCTGCCAGTGGTAGTTGTATTTCTGGGCAAGTTGCAGGTAGTGGTCGATTCAAGAGTCCTTTGAATTGATCAGCCCATTGTTTTATTTGCTTCTCTTGCTTGGTAATCAGGTTTGCTTGAACATCTTTTATTGGTTTCATCATCTGGGTTGATCTCTTCCCGGAGAGAGATCTGGTTATTTCATATAATTTCCTGAAGTCGCTTCTGCATTTAACCTACCTGTTCTCTTCAGTTGCCGACCAGAGTGTGTTTGAATTGTTCCTTGTCTTTCCTAGCGCCCTTCTTCACTTCTCTCTTTATTCAATGCAGTGTACATGGAACTCAGCTTCTCCTTCTCTCGCCCATCTCTGCATTGAGCCATCTACTGTCTCACCATCCTAATCTCCTCTCTTCTATTAGCTTTCATGTAGGTTTCCTTTTAGAGTCATTCCTTGTCTTGTCTCTTCTTTCCTCCCAGAACAGTTGTACACGTTTGCTTGAATACTGTTTTCAGAGTTCCAATTTTCTCTCACACAGGTTTCTTCAGTGATGCCACGTAGTGTGTCTGACTTTGCTCTGGTATGATCTGTAGCATCCTTTGTAGTTTCGTCCTTCAGTTTCTGAATGTTGAACTTGAATTGTGGTCTGTTTCCATTTGTTTTCATGGATTTCAGGTTCACCCTGAAGTTTCCTTGAACTCGATGATGGTCTGAGCCCACATCTGCTCCTTTTTTTGAATTCGTGTCCAGTAAGCTGTATTTGAAACTGAGATAAAATCAGGCGAAACCCACATCTCTGGTCTTGAGTATATCTTTGTGGTTGTACATGCTACCTCCAATCACCATTAAAAGCATAGAAGTCTGGGAATAATTCTCTGTTCTCATTCATTTCTCCGACCCAAAGTCTCTCAACCCGTGATGAGCTCTATTCCTGTATTATCTACTCCCAGTTTAGCAGGCATTCACATGGACTATTTGGATTTTGATGTTGCCATTTGGGATGCTGTCCATTATTTTTTGTAGTTGTCTATAAAAATCTTCCTTCTTCTCTCGTTCCGCATTTTTAGTAGCACTGTGCTTAGCATTGGATAATTGTTACCTTCCATCGTTTTGAGTCGAATCTTGCTGTCATGATCCTGAAGGATTAAATTGGTCCCCACTGTATTAGGGCTCTGGCTGCCACTGGTGACATTATGGTAGCCACTCACTCTCTCAGTGTGCTCGTGGTTGTCATCTGGGCGACCAGATGGGAGTAGATTACTGACTCTTCAGTTGACAATTTTTATAATCCGCAACCGTTCCATCTGTTTTCGCAGATACCCAGTACTTCTAAGCCATATACTCGCATTTCTCTGGATACCTGGGCAGCCTTCCCTTTTGTACATTGTATGTACATTCCACGTCTCTATTCTTATTCTTCCTTTCATCGATAGAAGACACATAGACTGGCTTCCCAAAGGCTTTCACTAGGTCGCTGTGTCATTTTCCCTCTCCAATTCCAGCGATGAATAAGATTATTATTGGAATTTTTGTATTTTTTATACCATTTTTGTTCATTGAAGTTTCTCTAGCAGCTTGATAGCTTTTGTGGTGTATGGTTGCTAGCCTCATGCGCGATCCTCCCTCTTTACCCGGGCTTGGGACTGGTTAGAAAACTAGCGAGCTAGTTACCTCGACGAGGTTAAAATCGAAAAGGTAGCTTGAAAATTTGAACCACCTTATTAGCGGGGTATAGTCACGTCCGTCTTTGTCAAAAGTACGCTTTCTGTTCAACTAATCATGGTCTGTCGTGATAATCTTTCCATTACAAATCAGACTGTAAATGTACTGGCTATTCTTCTGTCTGCTGGTCAGATAAACAATCAGTGAGATTCCACAACACTTCCAGCCCGTGTTCTGCATAATATCTGAAAATATTTACATTATTGTGACATTTTATTTTTGGCGCCATTTTCCCTTTTTAACCCAGTACTCGATTAGACAAATTTGTTCAGTGTTACAGTTTAGAAATTCAATAATTTAAAAAAAAGACTGCGACTTTAAAATTGGAATGATATTTAGACTTTTGTCCACAAATATAAATACAAGATGCAATAATGTTTACTCATGTTGAGAACAATATGTTACATACAGTGAAAAAAGCAAAAAAGATTGAAAAGGCGAAGAGGAAGATAAATCACAAATCATAAATCACGATAACTGATTAAAACAAAACAAGCAAAGTAACTGAGCAAAACGAACAGTGGAACAAAGCCAAATTTCGAAAGAGATATTTTCACCGCTTTATTCAAATTCCTACTTTTTATTTAATCAAGTAAAGATTGTATACATTCCCGGGATTAAATTTTGAAATCATCTTTTAAATTTTCATTCTTTTCTCATATTTTTAGGAAAAATATTATTGATTCATGCGTAATGTTTAGAAATGGAGTTATTTATGTAAATAAAAGTGATTTATTTTTAAGCTTTTACTGAACATTACTAATACTTGTTGTTTGCGGATAATCAGTTGGCTTATCACTGTTATTATCATTATTATCAAAAGTGGATGATTTGATGATTGAAACACTAGGTAATTGTTCAGATTGTAGACCAGATGGTTGATGATATGATGTTGTGTCATTGAAATTATTTGTGAATGTACTCAATGTTGATGGAGATTTTGGTCTTTGTTTATCGATTATTTGAGTGCATGCATTTAGTAATTGGTATGGTGAAGCATCGAATGTTGTTGGTCGTAGAGGCGGTAGTGGAGGGGCATCTTCATCGAATGGACCTACAATTGTCTCTGCTATTGATATTCATTTATCATTTCCATCTGTCCTTCCTATATCTCGTCCATATTCCTCTTGTTTAATGTCATCTGGTAGGAATGGAGTTGCGTATATGGCTGTACTAGCATATTTACCTAGGGGATCAAATTCAGCATATTCATATTCATCAAGTGGATTTAGCTCCAGATTTTTTGAATCAATAGCATAAGATGGTTTGACATCAGTGGGTGGAACATTCCAAGTACTATTCATTGAATATGGATTCAATGGCCATAGACGACTATAATTTGATTGGTCTGAATTTCTAGGATTGTGATAGTATACAATCGGTCCAGGTTTGATATTCAGTTTGACTAAACGTCTGTTTTAACAAAAGTGTTAAATAACAGTAAAAGGTTTAAATATAGGTGAAATATAAGCTGTGCAATGATTTCCATGAGACCTACGGCCACAGATTTTCGCGTAATGAGTATTCCGATCAGTTTCTTCCCCTCTAGCCAGGTTGTATACATTCGATCGTTTTCTGACAGAGAATCAATTTTCCTTGGATATGATAATGATTAAAAGATGCGAATACTTAAGTGTTGGTTTGTAGGGATTTGATTGGTTTCAGGATTTTATCATGAGCTGACATTAGTTAGAGAACCATTGGAAAACCTGGGAGTACGGGACAGCTGTTTCGTCCTAGTTTGGGACTCTTCATCAGTACGCACCCACCAGTGACCAGTAGAGTGAAGAGGGTCGGGTTTGAGGACAAATACTCGCTGAAGACATTGGCTAGGGGTCGCGCTATGTCGTGAATTGGCTAAAGTTAGAATTCAAGGACGGATCGGGTCCCAGTGGCTTAATGGTATACGAGCTCGCCTTGTAACCAGAAGGCCCTGAGTTCGAATCCCGGTGGGTGCGTGCATATGCGAACACTGTTTTGGAATTCAATTCAAGATGTGAATACGCGCATATATGATAGCATTTTTAGTGTTAAATCAGAATCGAATTATTTCAAATTATTTTATCGTCTCTAGTGAGACCGTCGAGTTGGGCCCGAATGAGGAACAATGTGTTGAGCATGATTCTGGGGATGACGTGGAAGAAATTATGTGAAGAGGGCAACGGCTGGTAGACAGTCGTGGGGCCAAAAAATGTGATTGCAGAGAAGAGAATGAAATGGTTGTGTGCTGCTGACGCTATCTTATCAACTCGGAATCTAAGGAAATAATAATAATAATGGCGAAGTTTAAGAATAACGTCCCAAAACCTTCAACGCTCAAATGACCTTGAACGCATGCTAGTCGTTGGCTAACGGTTCCTGTCATTATCATAGCTGAAATATCAACCCTATTCATCAAATAAGGAGCAAGTTTCACCCAGATAACACTTTTATTACTGTTTGGACAATGTGTTAACATCTCGTTAGGGTTAGGATAGCGGTTAAGGCGAGTATTGTGGTTAGGGTTAGGGTTTAGGGTTAGGGTTATGGTTAGGGTTTAGGGTTAGGGTTAGGGTTTAGGGTTACGGTTAGGGTTTAGGGTTAGGGTTAGGGTTTAGGGTTAGGGTTAGGGTAGCGATTAGGAATAGATTTTTCGTTTATTTCAAGTTCTTTTGTTATCCTTATTTCCCTTGTATGTAGTCGCCAATGCTCTTACTGGAACCATAGTAACTAAACCGAGGGCTGAGGAGAGGACTACACAGCAAGAGAAGAGAGATGAACCATTCCCAAAACAGCACACCTTCAGTCTCTTTGGTGAATACATCTACAGAAACTAGTTCAAATTAGCAGCTGACACTCTTCATCGCAACTGGAACGTATTTTTAAGTCATTTCAGAGAAATATAATCCGTTTAATGTTTTTTTTCATGCATTTTTGTGTAAATATACGTTAAATTTTATGCAAAATTCCTCCTATTTTCTGATTGGTCGGCTCAAGGTCATTGTGCGTTCGCATCTCTTGGGACTTTATTCTTAAACTTTGCAATAATAATAATGATAATAAGAATATTTCACTGTACTCACTTAAATTTATGCCTATTACAATGTAGGAATAAATGTTCTCTGGCTTATTTTCTGTGTTTGTTGACTTTAAACCCTTTGAAGACACACTCACCCATTGAAACACAGGTAAATTCAACCGAGGTATAATAAAAGGAATGGGAACAGTGTCGTGGAATTTGGCCTAATATGCTGAAGAGATTTACCTTTTTTTAATTTTTATTTATTTTTGATTACAGCTTGATTCCACACTGTATTTTTGATACAAGTGTGGAATTTTCAGCATGGATATCAACAGCCCAAGTTTTAAAGGCCGAATATAGATGTCAAGTGTGCGTCGGCAGGGGATCGAACCTCGGACCATGTGAGTAGTCGGCGACAGTCCTAACCATTGTGCCACCGACGCATACAATACTAATTTCAATAGACAATACGTTTTAAAAGTTGATTTGCAAGAATTTAACTGAATTCAAGTTAGGCAATACTCCTGTGGTGAGAGCAGCCTGCTAGCCAATTGGTTGACATTAATCTACGTCAATGTCTAGGTCACTAATATGGGCTGTGAGCAAATATGAACAAGGCTGTTTCAACAACCAATCACAGCAAACTTAAACGTGGGTAAATATGATTCGCAGATAGATGGCTCCACTTTCCGAGGGACTCGAAAACAATCAGTCAGAAGACTGCGTTTGTCTACTTGACTAGGCTATAATAATGTATGTGAAATTTATATAAATACGTGTTGATTTCCGTAATAAAACGATCTGTTCCGTAGCCCTTGTCTTCTCTTGTTACACTCTGACATCACTTGGAGAACAACTAAATACCTTGGAGTACTAAGCAGCTGTTTCATCCTATTGTGGTACCGGGGTTCAAGCCTAAGACACTCATGTTACGACGCGAGCCGACTTATCATTTAGCCACTGGGAATTAAATCCAATAGACCATGAACTGTGACTTTTGTCGATTTGAGAAAGTACAGCATCACCATCAGCCAACGTCACAGCCCTGTAATTTTCCCTACATTCAATCTAGTGGACTCCACTGGTTCAATCACTGTTGGTGAAGTGTGTACACATTGCTCATAAGTCGCAGACTGGGACGGTATAGTTAACTATCTAGTACACAGTAGTTTCAATGTGCTATCCACTCCAATAGGATGAAAGGCTATCCACCTCATTCTGTTAGAATTACTATTTAAGGAGGACAGTATGCTCTATTTAAGGATGACGAATTCAATGCGGATGCTTTTTATAAAAGTAATATTGATGTAGGTCTGAGAAAAGGAGTTCAAATCACAGAATGACTTAAACCTTGAAATCATCGACTGAAACCATCTCTCATGTTTACATTTGTTTCAAAATCAGTTATCGCACTATCGCGATCACATTTATTCTGTCAAGGTATATGTATGTACTTCACGTGTACTTTGGTGAATCAGTGGTAGAACACCCATCGACCACGGTGAACGTGGTCCCTGTCGACGCACTCCTAAACTTTGTTTAACCTGTAGTAAGAACGATAGGCATTGAAGGCTTGGCATAAAGCTAACAGCTGAAACCTGTTCAAAGAAACACCACTTCTATTGAAATTTCAGAGTACACAAGCTAGAAGCACTATGCCGAACTCGAAACGAAAGAGAATACAATAATAATAATAATAATAATAATAATAATGTACTTTCTATATGAAAATGGAGTTCACCAGTAGAAGTATATGAACATGCAGTTTCACACATACTTTTTGCTGACAAATTTCCAGACAATGGTGACTGTTAATATCACGATCAGAATAATGCCTGCAGCTGTTAGTGTGAGTAATATCCAGTTGGTTTTCTGATGCAGAAGAAGAAGAAGAGAAAAAAAATAAGGATTAGTAATAAAAAGTCAATAAATTAAATTTAAAAAATATCCTCAATAATTTAGTCTACACTAATAACTGACTGGTTGAATAACTGATTTATTAACATAGTAGGTAACAGCAGCCTTTGATGCGTATGCCAGTCACAGTACCAAAGATAGACAGGTAGACAGATAAACATAAGTGTAGCTGGGAGTAAGAAAAAGTCGACTTGCCATCTCAGCTTACATCCTTTTGTGACAGGAATTAAAGGAAAACACTTGAAAAGTTTTACACTGTCGAGTGGATTCTCTTAATCAGAGTACATATGACATGTGAATATCTGGTAACGGGTAAGCGCCACGTGCATTCCTGTATCCCGATTGGCATTATTAAACTGAAGAAGGGGATTAGATTCTTCCGTGGTAAGTATTGTGGAAGACAGTTTCGCGTGTAGTGAAATTAGTTAAGCTAACATGTTTCACTTTAGAAATAATGCAGGTTCAGGTAGATAATATTGGTGTAATTATATTCACTAAGATGAATGGTGTACTTGCGCAGCTTTCAATATTCTTCTCTAGACAATATCTTCAGTGAAGACTTCTACATGAAGTGAGGGTTTGGAATTCGCCATGTGTTAATGAGCAGTGGTCTTGAATCTGACTGATTGTTTGCTGGGATTTTTCAACTCTCTTGTCACCTAGTATTCGCGTCGATTATTCCTTTAAACCGATAGTCGACCCTTTGTCCAAGCGACTACCTCTCTTACTGTTTAATGAATCTGATATGTGTCAGTGTGTTTATTGATCAAAGTTCGTCTGAGTAACAGGCTTCCAGGAGTATTGTTACATTTTCACGAAATGCTTCAATCCATATCGAAGTCTTTTTGAAGACGCTGTCTAAAAAGAAAATGAGAGCTTCATAAATTCACTATTCACTTGAGAACGTATAACTCCTCCAATACCTCTCGCTTTTAAGGGGCTGAACAGAAGAACAGGTGTTGATTTTCAGTAGCTGTTTTTAAGTTCTCAAAGAAGAGTCTGTGTGAATCGTATGATTAGTTGTCTGTCTAGTATGGGACGATATTTATCTTACAACTACAATTACTCTGTGAGATGACTACATCACAGAGTAATTGTAATTATAATACTTTGGTAAAGCTATTAGCATTAAATAGCGAAACGTCAGTAAAAACAATATCATTTTGTTTTCATTCATTGGGAAATGCAAAATCCTTTATTATGTTGATTCATGTTTATAAATCTGAATCTAAGCCACATAGGTGAAATATTATTTATTTGAGTGTCAGTTTGTAGGAATTTGGTTAGTTACAGGACTTCATCATGAGCGGACATTGGTTAGAGACCATTGGAAAACCTGGGAGTACTGGGCAGCTGTTTCGTCCTAATTTGGAACTCTTCATCAGTACGCACCCACCGCCACGGTTCGAACCCAGGACCTTCTGGTTACAAGGCGAGCCAGCTCGTAAACCATTAAGCCACTGGGACTCGATCCAATGGCCAGAGCATGAATTCTAACTTCTGCCAATTCACGACATAGCACAACCGCTAGGCAATGTCTTCGGCGAGTATTTGTTCTCACACCCGACCTTCTGCACCCTACTGGTCACGACTTCTTATAAATATATCTGACCGAATTCAATATCTTTAATTTGGTGTGCAGGCTCCTTGAACAGATGTTTGGATGTTACTAGGATTGCTCATCTGGAGCGATATAAGTATACAACTTGGGCACTGTGGTAGAGTATAACTCCATTATGGATACAATCAATATTAACTGTATAAAAATTGTGTGATTTATTAAAATAAAATCTTATCCATAAACTGGAGTGACTTGTGTGATAGTGAACAGAACTCACGTATCTCATTCTACTTATCGACTGTTCCTTGGAAAAGAGAGAAGTTCAAAAGAAGTTAGCTTTATAAGCATCCTTCCTTCTTTGATAGCATTTCAAAAATACTAAACGAAGTTAGATGTCGGTAGTAAGAACTGTTTCACCGATAATCCAATAAAGTGGTAATCTACAGACTGTCACCTTCTTATGAGCATTTTGCGTCTGATATATATTTGTTGAGCAAGAGTTTATTAAAAACTCTACTCGTTATTAAAGTTCCTTTCGAAGGTAGATCTCCTAGAATTACTACAGTAATAACAGCTTTATCCGGGATTAAATGCTCACGCAGTCTACGGAATTCTCAGCATAACTATTTACATAATATTCTCATGTTATCCAGGATTTCCAAGAAAAATAACAATCTAAACTATATCACGTAATGTAGTGCTGCTCAATTCAAATCCAATTTAAAATGTGTGTGATTACATTTTACAACTCACGGGACATAATTCAGTGTTTAAAACAATGAGAAATAGAGAAAATATGATTCACTGTGTTGAATACCAATTCAGGTAGTCAAGTGATCCTATTAGGCTCCCGATATAAATAAGATATTTATCATTCCTAAGTAAACCAGTCTGATTCGGAAATCACAGATAACATTCCAGTACTTTGTGGTCTTTTATTGGTTCTTATTTCTGCTAATGCATACAATAATCACAGAATTTTAGATTCCTTTAGGTAAAAGAGATTAGATTCCATATTGAACAGATTTTAAAATGTAATACACATTGGTACCATATCGATAACTGGATGAAGTTCTAGGCACAATTTATTGCTCAAAATACATTCACACGACTTCATAATTTGCTTCATATAAATATTTTTTCTCCTCTTCTTATTATTTACTATAATTTTCCTTATATCCGATATAGATGTTACATCGTTTTAATTGAACCTGATCAATGTTGATTCGATGAACAAAGATTCAGTGATTAACCTCCCATTCTGTTCAGTTACCTATATTACTTTTTAATATTTTCACCCTGTCTTACACTTTTTCTAGGTTCACTTATTTAACCTTGCAGGATAAATTTCTATGTTCTCACAGCTTAATTCACCTGGATCTACTAGTTTGAACTCAGAGTCATTACAAAGTATTTAGAAAACTACCTTGTTTTTCTCAAGTAAATATATCACTTCCTTAAGCTGACAAAGTTTATATGTGGTTGGATTAGATAACACAGTAATTCCAGCGCCATTAACAATCCTACAAAGGGCTGAATAAGGTTGCTTTCGAAATTCCGAAGCATCCTTATCAACTAGACAGTTATACTGAAGTAAATTTAGAATAATATGAAATGTCACTCAACAACATCACTTGATAGTAAGCTAAACCTAAAATATGAGTAGATGGCACGAGATCCGAACCAGTAACCTTCTAACTGAAAATTTGAATACTTCATTCATTGCTCCAAAGAGGCAATCAAACAATAGGCTTATTCAAATATAAAAAGTAAAAAAAATACTAATACTTATTTCTTTATTACTTACCCACGACTCCATTTCCACAGACAACTCACATCTATCACCTGTCCATTCAGGTAAACATAGACAACTAACTTCGAATTTTGTTGCATGCTCATAACATGTCCCACCATTCAAACAAACTGGAGGCGATTCAGTGTTGTTAACATCATATCCAGTTGCAAAATTGCCATCATATTGAAGTTTTAAGGCTTCTTCCAGACACGCTGATCGTCTTTCAGTACATCGATGTCCAGTCCATTGTTCAGTACACTGACATGTGAAACTTTTATTATAGTGTCCGCTAAGTTGGCATTGGCCACCATTTTGACAAGGATTTGTTTGACACGGATTACGATCTGGATAACATTCTGATTCTGTTAAAGTAAAAGTTAATCACAAAGCAACAACTATCAGTTAGACGCAGTTTTTTGTTCAGAGAAGAAATTTCTTTTCAACTACTTCATTTTCAAGCTGTACAGTCGTATCAGAAAAAGTTACTAAGTGGCACTCAATAATTGCCCACTCAATATACATGTATACGTGGTAAGAATAACGATAATTAAAATATTATAAGGGGTAGAGTTGAAGTGGATAAATTACAAAATTATTAAAGATTGTTTTATAGGTGAATTAATACCAAAATATTTTACAAAAAATATCAAGTGTTGTCTAAAAATTTTAAAAATCAAGAGTACGATTACAGTAAGAATGAAGATGTGAAGTGAAGTGGAATGAATTCAAGTAGTAAAATAAAATAAAAACTAGGAAGAACATTACTATGATCAAGGTAAAGAAAGGGAGTTGAAAAAACGTTTTTAAACATATAATTTAGGTTTCTGTTCATGTATTGCTAAAGCTTTGGCTATGCATAAGTAAAGAAAACATAAACTTTTGGATCGATTCGATTTTGCCATGTAGATAACCTTGAAGGATGAATCATGTGGGGCTAGATGACCAGACTCTAACAGGTGATCATAAATAGACAACTTTGCAGTTCTACGTTCGCCTTTGCATTAACTTAACCGGATAGTGTTCAGCTACACGTTTTCGGCGATTACGCTTACAAGGTCCAACCTATTCATTTATGAGTGAAACTGGTCTTATGAGTCAAGTTAGCCTCCGGAGTTTTATTCAGTTAATTTTCCCTTCAAAAATGTGGTCGATATACATGAATTCGTCAGTCACAGACATGTCATATCTCCATAAAGGACTCATTATTGTCAAGAGGATGATGCAAACAAACAGTAGAAGCTACAGAAGTAATTCAATTCCCACTGTGAACTCAGTTTATTCGTATATGAACATACTTGTTTACAAGCAAGTACATAGTTTGCATCAGAATGCACTTGATGTTGTTATGTATTCTCTGAAGAAGATAGTTTAATCACCAAGGATTCATTGCTCTTCTTGACAACGTCTTCAATGCGAACTTCAGTATGAAGTGTAATAATTTGAATTCTCCATGTGAATAATATAACTGTATCTCTGAAAACCTTCATCGTGATAGCTTGTTAACTTGTATCAGTACTGATCGTTTTATTGACTTGGATTTTGAATCTTTTCTCATGTGGTTTATTCTTCATTAGTTGATAAATTAGATCTGTATTAATATGTCTGTTAATCATTGATTTATCTGAATACCAGGTCTCAAGAAATTCCATTACATTTTCGATGTTTCCATTGTTTAAAAATTTCCACACGTCCCCATTTAAATAGATGTCCACAGTCGTATCAGCATGAAAGAATACATATCGTGTATTTCAACAGCTAGTTCATACACTTTATAACAGAGCTGATTGAGATATCCATACATATCAATGAAGTGCTCACCGCAGTCGATGCAGTTTATTTTGTAAATGGTATTGATCTTGCCTTTTTTTGCTTTTGCGTCTTTTATTCTGTATGGGTACTGATGTCTTTAAGTGTCTTCAGTCTCTCAGACCTACTCAGTCTGACTGACATTTTCAACGAATCTTTTTCCAAAAGTATTATACCCGACTCATGGAGAAATATCAAAATTGTTTGAGTGCCTAAATCAACAAGTGGACCTACTGTTAAGTTTAGACTCACTGCCATTACCTCACTTTTTTGAAAATGATGGAAAGACTTATTTTCCTTAATCTTGAACCCTCTTTAAAGCCTTTCAATGACCCCAACCAGTTCGCTTATAAACATATTAGGTGCACCTTAGACGCCGCTGTTGTCCTACATCATAATATAGTCTCTAGTTTAGATAGAGAAGCTAAATACGTTCGCTGTGCCTTCCTTGATTACACTTCTGCATTTGACTCCGTCCCTAGGTCTCTCTTGCCAAGTAAGCTCGCTGCAACACAGGCTGAGAGCTGGACAAATAAGTGGCTGCTTTCCTATTTTCTGATAGGAAGCAATACACCACCTACAATGAAAAGTCCTCCTCTACCTCACCTACTTTAGCTGGTGTTCCTCAAGGTTCTGTTTTTTATCCTTTTCTGTTTTCTTTTTCTTACATGACTTGCCTCATTCTGATGTAGCCACTTATGTTAAGTATGCTGATGACCTCTCAGTTTCTATGCCTGTCAACACTCAGTCAGACTGTTCCAAATTAAATAACTTTTTATCGGAAATTAATCAGTGGTCCTCTTCAAACGGACTTAAGCTAAATCCGTCTAAATGTCAGGTAGTCAGTTTCACTTTCAGATGAAAACGTGACCTACAACTACTAGCTAGCTCAAATGGTCCCACTGTCATTGACAGCATAGAGGTTGAAAATACATCTAATGTCAAGTACCTTGGACTGAGTATTTCCTCCGATCTTTCCTGGTCTTCCCACATCTTGCTAGTTACTAGAAAGATGTTTCGCTTAAAGTTCTATGTTAGGAAGTTAAGGCAGTCCGGTATAAAGCAGCCTTTGCTTTTTCAGTTTGTCAATTCTTGTATTTTACCCACCCCCCTTTACTGCTCCTCAATAATCTTTCTTGGACTACTTAAGAAAGACTTTGCTTTGCTAAGAAGGGCACTAAAAGTCGTTAATTGGGCAAGTGGGATATCGCTAAACCAACTGGTTAACACTATTGTGGATAGACATATAATGTCATGTAAAAAACTAGCGAATACAATATTGTCAGACCCCGAGCATCCTCTCTATACGCATCTATCTCCTTGCATTTCATCTGGTAGAACTAGAAGCAGCTATAGGCGACTATATGTTAGGAGTGCCAAGTACAAAAACTTCACAATACCATATCTGGCTCAGCTGTTATGTGATGAGAAATCCGTTAGGTATGACACGACCAACTTACTGCGGCACTCTAACAAATAGCCCCAATAGATTTTGTTTTCCTTTCTTCGTTGCTGTTACACTGTTGTTCACATTTCCTATTACACACTAATTTTATATTTCATATCCTGTGGTGCATTGTTTAAAATGTAACCGAAACGCTGTTCTTTTTATTTTTTTTTTGGTGTTACTTTTTGATTTTAGAATCTTACAAAATTTATGAGGTAATCAGATGCAATATATTGTAATGCACGCTGAAAATTCCATACCTGTACCACAAATACTGTTTGGAATAAAGCTGCTGTTATGATTATGAAGTGCTTATTCTGATTTGTGTACAGTATATATTCTGAATAGTTTTAGTATATTAGCCGTTACTTCAGAAATATTTTTTATATGTGGTAAGATGAATTTTCCACTTAACTTATCCGATTTCTTAATACTTTGGATTAACTGCATTGATATTTGTACAAACTGAACTACTCTATCCGAAATATTAAATCAATTTATTCATGACTTACTGTTGATCTCAATTTGGATATTGACATAGATCAAAACAGTAGTCAGAGAAGTGTAGAAAATCATGGAACATTAGACAGATTTTTCGTCTCTGTATGGGACTCTTAACCTCAGTGTGCAGGCACGATTCCATCAGAAATCGTGTGCAGGACCTTTAACTCGTGAGCCAAATGCATTCACCGCTCCAGTCAATATTCATCAGCGAATTGTCACTAGTGACAACCAATATCTTCAGCAAGTATCAATCTTCACATACAACATTGTGACCAAATGTATTCGAAATCTCTAGGAAATCCAAAATGTGATTATTGGTAATCAATGTTTGTTTAAAATTGTCTTTCTGTTGGAAACGTCTCCATATTAACACATGACTTACTCACGGATAACTTTAAACCAATAACATGTGATTATCATCACACCATTAGCTTGATTCCTTTTTAAAATCCTTTTCAACGTCCATCTTTCCCTCCCTTCTTAATCATACCATTTGTTGATTTCACTGATTTTTTCTTCAAATAGTTTTTAAAAAAAGTATGTTTTATGATTTCATTTACACCACATTAATGATTAATGTGTATATTTTAACCATGAGAACAAAGAGAACGAGAGTGTTCAATCTCATTCAATCACTACGTGTGATTCACATATTTCATTTTTTTCTATCAGTGAGCACACCTGTTGAAAGTAAATTTATTTCTCAGAATAGTGATTATAAATTAGTAAGAGCTAATCAATTTTAGCATACAAATCAGGTTGTCAGCCGAACTACTTGAAATCAGTCTGGACTCATATTTCACCACGAACCACTACCACTTTCAAAGAACATTGAAATCGAGGAAGCACTGAGTAGCCATTTCATGCCACCCTGGGACTTTTCAACAGAGTGCACTTACGACTCCATGAGGGGTGGAACCTATTATCTTCAGACCACGAAACCAGGGTCGTTGACCGTTCAGTAACTCTGATAACTAGTGGAATCGTGAGGGTGAACCGTTTAAGAGTCCGAAGCATGGGAGACACAGTGGTCCAGTGTTCCCTGATTTTCAGTGGCCTCTCCAACTGACGTCGGTTGGTGAATATATCTACGCTAAAATAATCCATATCTCTACAACTATACCGAAAACATACACCTGAGCTAAAGAATGCTTCCCCATTTCTCGTAGATTTGTTGTAGAGAGTGTTTAGTGTCTCTTATGCTGACCCTTAGTCCTTACAAAATGATTGAAACAGATCACCAGTTAGACTGTAAAAGCAAAGCACACATAGCATTCGTGTCTAGTGACGTGATTGGTCCCGCCTAACCGTCATTCTGAAGGGGACTGGCATACTGTATAACTTCATCCTGTAGATATTGTTTATTAATTTGGATGGACAGATAGGCCTCATTTGTAAATGGTTAAGAAGGGAATCTGTTTAGCGTAATTATGTGACTATTCTAGCAGCATCATTTAATATAAATTTTTTATTTGTTTACTGGCAGTAGAATTAAGTTGCATTATGGGGTAAGGCAAAATTATGTGTATCTGGATATTAGATGGTAGGAGACAGTCGGCAAGAATCCGTCAACGTAGGTTTCGCGCTAATTGACACTCATCAGCAAGTCGTATCTGAGACCTCGACTGAACTCCGGTCCCTTCTGATATTCGAACTCGCGCCACCTAGTGCTGCAGTCAGAGACGTTACGACTGAGCTATTGAGGCTGGCGATCGACCTCCTAAAGGATTATATTGGATATCTAGGTCTATCACACTGATGGTGATCCTATCGTTTGACTAACCAGACAGAGTTATGAAACAGAACTTTGTCCTATTTGGAATTCGTCATCTGGATGTATCTTCATTCCTCAGTGATACCTCTCTGTGGTTCGAAATTGTGAGGGGGGGGTTAGTTTCAGTTTTCAGCGTGATCACAGTCAATCAGTGGGGGTGAGCAGGTTACCAATCTGACGAGTCTCAGCTGGGCATAAATGAGCATCCTGGTTTTCACTGCTAGTCACTATCCACCGAACAAATTTAAATCATATCAAGTAGTTCAACTGGTAGTTAGGTGTTTTGAAAAAAAGACATATACGTATACACGTAAGTTAACTAATCATTGAGAAAACAACTCACTTTCTTCCCCACCACAAATACAAATACGTCCAGTTCCGTGGTTTTTATTTACACATGTTGCATGATCAGTGCATGGTTCATAATAACATGAATCTTCTTTATTACATCTTATCCCTCGTAGACCTAAAATGTTGTTAAAAGTAAAAGTGATTTGTTTAAATGATTGAAAGCGTCGGTTCGCCTGAATCAGTAAGCTACCAGAATTTCCATTCAACACAATCCATTATATTTTCCCCAATTTTTATTTGTCTTAAATATTCAACTATGTTCTTTAGTCACAAAATGTACTAATGCACGTATTTCATTAACCTTCTCAAGCTAGAGGCATGCATTTCCTGGACATGAAGGAAAAATATCAAAAGGGATTGATCTGTTCTTCAAGTCTAGCATCATCGCATCACCTGATTAGCCATAGAGGACTATTTTACTTGAAGATCCTGAATGAAGAGAAAATGTTATTTCATAAATTACGCTGAGAGTTCTACACATTGTGTAAGCATTTCGTCCAGGATAAAGCTATTATTATGACTACGAAAAAAGTTATTTGTTTATGTATAGAGTTGCATACCATATCTCAAGTAGAACATTATGACTACGTCTTTTGGGTGACTTTGTTCAGGGTGGTAACGACAGGAGGCAAGAGTCAGGTAACAGATCGTTTATTTAGGAAATCAACACGTATTTATATATTTTCATGTATATTATTATTAGCTTATTCAAGCAAACAAACACACTCTTCTGATCGGTTGTTTGTCACAGAAAGTTGATCTTGCATCTCTTTGTGACTGTTACTTGAATGTCAGGTCATCTATATGTTGACTGTATCTGCCTAAGCAAAGTCTTCTGTGATTTGTTGTTGAATCAGTCTTGTTTATATTTTCTCACCACCAATATTTGGGACATAGCCATTAACGTGAAATATTGTCTACCATTTTTGGCTAGCCTGCTCTCACCACAAAGTCAGTTTCGTATAACGTCACTTTAAAGAGCGACGCGTTGACCACAGTACACATTAGACTGATAGATTTCAGTTAGCTCTAAAAGTCAATTAAATGACGTCGATTACCTCCCCAATAAATAATCAGTTTATCTAGCATAATCCTATGCGAAGTAGCCAGGTCTTTAACTTCAGAAGTCACTGATATCTTTTCGAATTCATGAGGTGAAAGCGACACTAGTTACGTCATGGCCTAAAATACATCGGGACTGACAAATTTCATTCTCCTGTTTATGGAACATGCCTACAGTTCAAAAATGCGATAACTTTAGATGAAGAGGGACGCTGAACAGTGAATTTTTATTTGTCGAATCTACACCTGACACATGCAATGGATATTGTGCGACGCCAGGACCACCAATAAAATCAATGGATAAGAAGTGATGGATTTATATAAGCGAATTTTGGAAGGTTTGTGAGTATCTTGATATGATTATGAGTAAGAGACTATGTGGTTTTATCACATAAATGTATTGTATGAAGGAATTATACTCTATCACAGTGCCTACGGTCTATCCTTATATCAATGAAAAGAAATGCAATCAAAGAACAATAAATAAAAATATGAATCAATCAAATCCCTACAAACCAACACTTGAATACCAATGAGATGATCACTGGCGACTGGCCCTATTCAGGTAGGTAGTTACCTGGGTTCCAGTGGGAAGTCGTGACCAGTAGGGTGCACAGGGTCGGGTGTGAGGACAAATACTCGCTGAAGACATTGGCTAGCGGTCGGGCTATTTCGTGAATTGGCTAAAGTTAGAATTCAGGGACCATTGGATCGGGTCTCAGTGGCTTAATGGTATATGAGCTTGCCTTGTAACCGGAAGGTCCTGGGTTTGAATCCCGGTGGGTGCGTACTGGTGAAGAGTTTCAAACTAGGACAATGGTTCTCTAACTAATGTCAGCTCATGATGAAATCCTGAAAAATATATGAGTGAAAGGATTACAAAATGAAGAACAGTGAAGATTTTAACGCTCTGGCAAATTTTATGAAATGAGTGCATCTGCAAGATAGAGAACAGTTCTCAACCATGGGATAACAACCTCTAGCCATTGGTCCTTAGCATCTCAACTATCCTAGCTATCCACTAAACAACAAATATCTATTGGTCTTTTCAAGTCAGCCAGTGCAATCAAACATAATTTGACAAAATGACTAAACTAGGTTTACTACTGTCAGTGTTTCGATGATAGAATGCTTGCTAGCCACTTCGAAGGTCTAAGTTCAATTTCTACCCAACGTATTCTTAAACTTCGCCCACTTTTCTATCCCGCAGTAAGACCGGAAAAGAGCAGAGGTTGAACTTGAAGCTAGTTAACCCACTCCATAAGAACAATACTTCAGCCCTGAAGTAAAGAAATGAAAAAAAGAATTCATTGTTGCCTGATGGTCTACAGGAGTTCATTTTTTTTTCAAATAAAATGTATTCATAGCCAGGTATGAATGAAATTTATTTAGAAAACTTATAATCACTTTTTAAGTCGTGATTTGTGGAGATTCGATTAGCTACTCGTCTGATCAAGAGATGATATCATTTGGAGAACTGCTGGGAAACCACGGAGTACTCGACAGCTGTTTCTTACTTGTTGGAGACCCTTCAGAGAACGCATCCATCTCATGGCTTCGGATGCAGATTCGCCTAGCCACTGGAACTTGATCCAGTGGTCCATGGATTCCCACTTCTGAAAATTATTGATATACACAGCACAAGTGCTAGACAATATTACTGGCGAGGAACTGTCCTCTTACCTGACTTGTTGGAACCTGACGGTAACGGAAATCTATCGAGATTTCATCCATCTAAATTATGAAAGAGGCATAGTGTACTCTATGGAGACCTTTCAATAAGGTCAATTAATCTAAGTTGAAATCAGTGAAAATGGCATAAAGCCTGGCAAGTGGGAACTGATCCACTGCTTTCCATTTTTTGACTACGAGATGAAAGTACTAGAGTTTCACTGAGAAGCGGTGAACGTTTTTCGTTCTGAGAAGTTAGATGTCACCACAGATCCTCGTGGATCATAATGTATGGAGACAGAATTAAATAAGGGAATTGATAGAATTTTCAATTCATGGTTGATTCTTTTTTGGGTTCTAGCTGATATCAGTTAGAGAACCACTGGAGAACTAACTGGGAATACTGGACAGCTCTTTCATCAGTCTAGTTTGGAACTCTTCAGCGGCACACGCCCACCATAGGGGTTTGAGCCCAGGACCTTCTGGTTACAAGGCTAGCGAGCTCGTAGACCATTAATCCACTGGAACCGAATCCAATGGTCAGCCCATGAATTCTAACTTTGGCCAGTTGCGGACATAGCGCGACCACTTCACAATGTCTTCTTTGATGGGTTACTGACTCACCTTCAACCTGCTGCACCTTACTGGTCACGGCTTCAGGTTAGCTACCTGAATATGGCCAGTTGCAAGTGAACATCAGACTAATTTTCAACTACTGTTTTTGTAGGGATTGTTGTCTGATTGGTTGGAGGATCGGGTCACAGTGGGAGTACTCCCAAGTTTTCCAATGGTTCTTTAATTGATGTCAGCTCATGATGAAATCCTCCAACTGGCCGAACATAAATCCCTACAAAACCAATACTTGGAGATTCTTTTTTTGACTGACTCAGTGGCTAAACCGACTAACCGAATGAATGTTTGGGAAATCCGTTCTGAACGAACGATTCACAGTATTTGCACTTATTTATATGTTTCAACTAACTGTGCAATTATTGTCCTCGTTTCCACTAGACTGTGTATCATCGTTCTAACGTTTGCATATCATCTCCTGACTCAGTCCTTATTATTTGTCTCTACTTTTGTTTAATCCTTAGTTCAAACACTTCCGTTTGTGGTTGTGTAATGATACTGATAATGTGTTGTTTTACGATTGCGATTTCTTTTGAATGAATTCAAGGTTATGCCGTGGGGATTTTGAACTTGGACTGTCTGAGAAAAGTGTTTGGCCGACAGAACTTTTATCCCACCTAATTGCAATTATTCAACTTGTTTTTCGGGTACTTCGTACGCTTGTTTCTGGTTAACTAATTTTGTTGCCCAGTACTTGTTTCGTATTCAAATAACTGTCTTAAGCAACCGTCTGGACATTCTGTGACTATAAGTCATTCGAAGAAGTTTGGTTAGTTATACGTAAGAACACATCGACTGGTTCTCTGCATTTACAACAGAGTAATTTGATTCTAGTCGTTCGTTACACAACCTCATCCATTTGTGGCACACATTTTTGCTTTACAAATATCGAAACAATAATACCCTTTTGTTTATTACAGAAATAATTCTACTTACCTGGAGTACAATTATATGAGCCATCTGAATTGCATGTATATCGAGATGGTTCCGGATTGCAATAAACATAACACTGATTACCATAGTAATTCTCTAAACAATTCAGTTTCATTCGCACATTCACACTGAAATCAAATTCATAAGAGGATAGATAGGAAAGTGCAGTCAGCAGAAAGAAAGAACGAAACAAACATAACTGAAGATAATATCTAGTTCGAACTACACTTATAAGCAGAAAAACTCAAATAACAGGTGTTGACTCTTAATAGTTTAGAAAATTAGGATTTCCGTACATTTTGGATTCATCAAACGAATAGATTTAATAATATTTACTTAAATTGAAGGCATTTCATTTCACACCAGTTGGTAAAAGAGGCAAGCAGTGAAGAGTGAACATCAAGTTAATATACGGAAGACAGAGGCGATGAAGGTACGTCACTGGCCAACAACACCAACAAGCATCAATCACTGGCAACATTAGAAACTTGAAAGAGGTTACTTATTTCACTTATATACACAGAATTGTTTCAACCACAGGCGGATCGGATGAGTCAGGATCGGAAGAACAAGACAGGCATTGATCACTCTGAAATCACCGTAGAAACATCCTACACAGAGCACAACGAACAGATCTAGATTTTCCATACTAATATTAAATCACGAAAAGCTCCAACAACACCTTGGATGTCACCAAGTTACCAGGAGAGATGATTAATAAATTTGTGGAGAAATCTAAAAGCTCACTACAAATCGAAGTTTGCACTGAAGACGTCGCCTATTAGGGCGATGAAAGCTTCGCAAATTAACTATCCAGCTCAGAGAACACAACCACATCAAAAAGACTTACATTTAACTTCAGTTAAGTGATGAATGCTATTATTCTATGGTTTCTGTTATTAGTTGCTTTCACCACACTGAGATTCTTTAGATAGGTGGAGACAACCTTTGATAAAAAATGAACCATGAGGCACAAATGAGTAGCTCTCATCTTGAATACTTCAGAAGAAGGTGGCTCATAATCTCATCGAATGACAGAACAATTATTTAGCCTTAGAGGCAAATATTAGTCATTAGAACTATAAGAAAGGCACTTCAAAGTATTTGATTCATGTTCAGGCTATCAATATTTTAGGCTATCAGCTGATTTCATAGGAGATTACCGAACTCTTTTGTGAATACTCACTATTGAATATTCCCAAACTTTCATGATGCAGCTATACAGTACTCAGTCATTTCCGATGGTTCTCCAGATATCTCTTTGCATTGCAAAAGAATTGAAGTTTATCTCACTTCTTATAAACGCTAATTAAATCGGTTTGAATGTCAGCTATAGGACCTTTCAGGATTAATATAGGAAATTCACTTACTCAGGAGCAGAAACGGACATGTAACTCATCGGTGATAAACACTCAAAATTCAGCTACTGCATCTTGAGTTTAAGCTACTCTACACGTGATTAGCTTGCAGAAATGAGTAGATTCATCAACCTTTCAGAAATAAGAACGGGCGTTTACCTAATACATGAGAAACAACACCTCTGAGTTTTATATATTCAGCAGAAAAGCTAATGCTCATGGTCGCCTAACAGAAAATATCCTTTTCTAAGAAATGATTTCGAAAATTGATGGTATTATCAATGAACTAGTGCTGCGAAATGAGTTAGTTGAATTTGAAGTGAAGTGACTTAATGAAGGCATGGTTGAAGTAGAACAGAATTTTCCGGCTTTGCATCTTCGCTTGGACAGAAACTCTACGAAATAAGGGTAACGTCTCTGACTGCAGCACTGGGTGACACGGATTCGAATCTCAGAAGGGACATGAGTTCTTTGAAAGTTGCAGATACGCCTTGCTGACGAGTGCAAAATTAGGGCTACCGATATCCATGCTGAAAATTCCATACTTGTACCGAAAATACAGTGTGGAATCAAGCTGTAAATCAAAAAAAAAAAAAAAAAAAAAAAATCAAAAAAAAAAAAAAAAAAAACTAGCACGAAACCTAGGTCCAAGGCTTCCTGCAGATTGCCTCCAACCATCTAATACCATCATATACTGACCATATTACAGGAAAGGTGTTTAGCGTTTTGAAGAAGTTTGAAGCAGAAGCAGTGGCATTTCGCATGTTTAATCCTGAACTCTGCTTATAAAAGAAGTTTGCTCAGTCATGTATTTCACAATGTTTTTGATGTGGTTGTGTTCTCTGAGCTGGATGGTTAATTTGCGAAGCCCTCATCGCTCTACTAGGCGACATCTCCAGCGCATACTTCAAGTTGAAGATGTCACTTGGCAAATTGACCATCCAGCTCAGGGAACACAACCACATCAAAATCATCCACCTGAGCTACAAATATTCTCTATCATATTCTACAATGTAGCTGATGTATCTTAGCACCGAATACGTGACTGTTTTTTTGTTTCCTAACTGCATTAGTTTCTTCCCTCACTCCCTATTAAGTTTCTACCCCCTTATTACCACTATCGTTACCTTTACTCTCGTTCAGATTTCACTTGAATTCTACTCAACCTCATCAATTATATCACGTCACTAAATTTACTTATTTTATTTTAGCTTCCACCCGACTAACGCCTTCTACATTACCTAATTTATTATCTAAACAAATTTACACTTCTAATGACAAATCCATGGAAATATTCCTTTTGTTACTATTTTTTATTACAGCTTGATTCCACACTGTATTTTTGATACAAGTATGGAATTTTCAGCATGGATATTGGTAGCCCAAATTTTGCAGGCCGACCATAGATATCAGGTACGTCGGTAGGGGATCGAACCTCGGACCATGTGCATGGTGGACGAGAATCCTAATCACTGTGCCACCGAGACACTAAGATAATTTATTATATATATTTATATGCGATTGTACAGCTTGGGAGTGATATCGGCGAAAAGAATTACTCTTCGCTGAACACCCTTTCCTTTATGCTACTCACTGTGGATTTTCAAGTTGATTATTTTACATCAATGAAACAAGATTCGATCGGTGTCATGAGCTTTTGTTACATAACAGTGACTAACTGCTGTGAAATTCTGTTTTCCTGATATCATCATATTATTACTATTCCCTTGGGTTCTTAGTGGAACACAGGGCCTTAACAAAACATCTCTACCTTGTTCTGTTTGCTGCAATCCTATTTAGCCGTATCCCCGATCGACCACAATCTGTTATCTCCCCCTCGCACCTTCTCCTCCATGTTACCCTCCCATTGGGAATCCACTCGAGTGATGGCTTATATTGAGGGCGATATCATTCAATGGCCTCCTTCGAATTTGCCGAATCTACAAACATGTTATTTCGCAATATCTGTTGAGCACTCGGTTCTTGGTTGGTTTGTTGTCAGCCACAGTTTCTTGTTACTAATTCTTTTTGGTCGGCTAGCCATTTGAACTTCAGTATGGAGCGAAGTCAGGTGTAGGATATTCGTTTTCCTGAATATCTGTATAAGAAACTCTATGCAGCCCTTCATGTTACTTTTTATGTTTTCCATTTCATTGTCAATCCCTTTTCTTCTCTTTTTCCCTATCAGTTGTTTCCAAATGACATTTCGTCAGTAAGCGAATTAATTTTCAACCCTTTCGAATTATTATTATTATTATATCCTTTAATTCCTAGAGGAAAATAGGACTTCAGCTGAGCGTCTCCATTGCTTTCTGTTTTCTGCCAACTTTTTCACTCCGCTCTAAGTTTGCTCACATGCTTTCATCTCCTCTTCGCATGACCTCCTCCAAGTCACCCTTGCACTGACGACCAACTCGCCGCTTCCCTTTCGGGTTCCACTCGAGTGATGGCTTGTCTAGTGATGTCACTTGATGGTTTCCTCAGCGTATGGCCAATCTATCTCCATTTCTTCCTGCCAATTTGTTTCACAATCGGTTCCTGCTGGGTTGGTTCGCTCATTACCAGAGATCCCTGTTGCTGATCTTTTCTGGCCATCTGATCTTGAGTGGTATTGAGCGAAGAAGGAAGCTGCTATGAAGGTCTGTAGTTTGTTTGAGATGTTATTTATGTCGCGAAGTGCAACTTTCTGATCCGTATAATAGCACTGACTGACTTCACATTGGAGTTGAAAATCCGGATCTTATTTTTGATTCTGAGTGATGTTGACCTCCACACAGACTTAAGGGTAATGAAAGCCTGTCTTTCTTTTCCGATTCTGGCTTTGATATCCTCGTCAGTTCCGCCTGTAGTTGAAACGAAGTTTCCTAGGTCGGTTGGTGAAGGGGGTTGTTTCTTTCAGGTTCTTCCCGTTTATGCTAATTGCTGTCTGTCTGTTGTTGTTGTTGCTGTTAGTGTTGGCAAGGAATCTTCATCACCTCTGTTTTATCTAGGTTCACTTGAAGTCCTAGCTTCTCTGGATGCTTCCTTGCCAACTTGTCGCAACTTTTCACTTGCATATCTTCCAGTTTGTGGGAAATCAGACATATATCATCAGCGAAGTCCAGATCCTCCAAGTTTTTTTTGTCTGAGTCCATTTTATGCCTGTTTCCTCATTACCCGTTGTCTGTCACATAATCCAGTCTCCTGCAATCAGGAAGATCATTGGCGATAATAGACAGCCTTGCCTTACTCCCGTCCTCACTTCAAAGGCTTCTGTAAGTTTCCCGTTGTGGATTACTTGGCATGCAGCATTGTCGTATAACTGTTGGATGAGATGTATAATTGTGGATGGCACCCCGTAGTAGCGAAGTAGTTGCCAAATGACCTCTCGATCGACGCTGTCGAAGGCCTTTTCAAAGTCGATGAAGTTGAGTGAGGTGGAGAGGTGACTGCCATTCCAAGCTTTGCTCAATGATTATCCGAAGAGTGGCGATTGGATCAATACGTGACTTGTTTCTCCTTAATCCAGCTTGTTCCTGCCGGAGTTTTGCATCCAGGGCACCCTCTCGAATACCTAAGATTATTCACTATTCTTTACACACACGTTGTTATTTCTCAAACACTTTGTTTTATTTTTTACTAACTGACGATAACTTCTTACCTCTATTGTCGAAAAAAGACTGTAGATATCAACCCCTTTAACAAGTATGTAGCCTTGAAGAAAAGCCACAAAACAAGATTTCCAAGATTTTTGGTTGTGATATTTTTTGTGTTTCCAGTTTGGATCAGTA